GCCTCCTCCCCCTCGGGTCTGCCTTCCTCGACCGCGCCCAGCTCCTCCACTGCCACGACCTCTTCCGTAGGCAGCGGCCTGTGGTCGGGGTCGGTCACCCCACCATTCCGGGTAACCAATGATTTGAAAGCATCCACTTATCTCATGTCCAGTCTGGCCGCAGTTCCTACATTTGAGATCCTTGGTCACGTCTTTATTGTGAACTACCGCGAAACTGACAGGGTTCTTTTCTTCATCTTGTGTGACCTTCAATACTCCTTCTTGCTGGACGATCGTGGAGTAGACCCGATTAAGTGGAGCCAAAGGTACGGTGCTCAAAATATTTGATCGTGCACTTCCATACCCCTCGTTGTCAAGTCCCATCAGGAACTGGTGCACCCTCTCATTCTCCTTTTGTATCTCGATTTGTTTCAGCGTGCCACAGCTACAGCCGCGGCACTTGGAGCACGTAGGCAATTTTTCCAACGTGCCGAGATAATCCCATATGCTCTTGAGTTTACCAAAATATGTTGGTATAGCCTGACCATTCTGCCTGCAATTTGCCAATTCCCTTTTTAACTGGTTTATTCTAGGTCCGTTTGCAACGGAGAACCGCTCCTTGATGTCGTTCCAGAGTTGGGCTGCTTCTTCTACTTGTGTGATGGAATTTCTGAGAGATCCATCTATGGTGTTAAAGATCCATAACACCAACATGGCGTTCACGATCCACCATTCTTCAGCTTCTTCTTCGTCTTCTTCTGGGAGAGGAATGGATCCGTCAATGAATCCAAACTTCCTTTTGGCTCGGAGAGCTATTCGCACCGCCCGGGCCCATTCTTCATAGTTATCTCCAGTTAATTTAATCTAGGTGATGACGAGAGCAGGAGTATCCGAAGATCTCAGCTCATATGGACTTATCTTTGTGACTTGCTTTTCTCCGATTTCTTCTTCTTCACTGATAACTCGTGAAACAGGTTTTTCAGTTTTCTCGACCTTCTCGTCCGCCATGTCTGTTGATCGCAAGATGCAGGTGGTGCTCGTTGGCCGAGAGAATTAAGTCGACACTCGCTCCGATACCATGATAAAAGTATTGGGAAGAATTTATGTTTATTTCTCCAAAGGTTCTCCTGAATATAGAAAACTCCTACCCTATTTATAAGCCAAGAATCCAAATCCTAGAAGGAAACAAAGTAAACTAGGAAACAAAGAGTACAAGACCAAAATAAACTAGGAAATCACTTAAACCAAATCCTCAAGGGATTCGGCCTTCCAGTATGCGTGCAAGCCAAGGAACGAACTCCCGTTCCGTAACAACATGTGTTGCTAATGACCACATTTGCATAGTCATTCGTATAATTAGTCATTATCTAACACATATTGTTGCTAATAATGAGAGCATATATGGCAAATCATACGAAAATATGTGTAATAAAGGGAAACAACATACTTGTTATCGTATGTTTCCTGGTCTTATTCAGGAAAACGTATTACATTTTAGTCCTATATGAAGCAAAATTTTCTTTAACTATTAAAAAGTTTCTCAATTAAATGATCATCCAAATAAATATGTAAAAAAACTCTAATTTGGATTAAAAAAGAATTCATCATTATCTGTTTTTGAGATGATATATTACAAATTTGGATATATAATGTTATTTTATATTAACCATATACAAATACTATTTTAAGTAGTTGTTGGAAGAAATTAGAAGGAATTAGAAGTTAACTTTTTCAACCTAAGAGAACAACGCCTAAGATGGAGGAATTGTTTCTTCTTTATTTGAATTAAACCAGATCAGATAATGCCAAAAAAATATTGGAAATGAAGGGTTCAAAATAATAATAAGAAAAACAATCACTACTACTCCCTCTGTCCCATTTTAAATTCCTTGTTTGTCCGTCCAAAAAAGTTGTATGTTACTTGTTATCGTAAACTTTTAAGAGTAAAATAAGTAATCATTCTTCTTCACCTTATCTTCTCATTCATCTTCACCCCTCCTAAAAAATAATGACAATTTGAAAAATCAACTTTATTTTTTCTCTTCTTTAAATATGTCCAAAAGTCAAAACAAGCGATTTAAAACGGGACGGAAGGAGTACTTTGTATTGTTGTTGTTGTTGTTGTTTGACTGATTTTCTTAAGTGTAATACTATTTTGATCTTAATGTATTCATTCAGTTTGACTTTTTCAAATCCAACGGAATAAAGTTTGAACTTCAATTACATTAAAAAGTACTCCATACAATATAGATCAGTATAAAAATGATTTGCGTAGATGGATCTTATTGCTAATTTTCAAAATAAATTACTACCTCCGTCCCAGAATATTTGTCCACTTTTATTTTTACACATCATCCAATACACTTCTTTAATCCATTTTATCTTACTCCCTCCGTCCTATATTTAACTTCCTGTTTTGACTTGAGCTCATTTTTAAGAAAGTAAAAATTCTTTTGACTTTCCAAAATTGCCCCTCAACCCTTCTTCTACTTCGCTGCCCCTGATTATTGATGTGAGCTTGCCTAACTCCAACAAAAATCATCCAACCACCACAAGCATATATATCCAACAAATTCAAGCTTTTGGAACAGAATCGATTCATCTGTTCTGAAATAAATTTTTTTTGCATATATATACGCTTCATGTATATCAGTAGATACGAAGGAAGATAATCACACATGAGCCTTAAATCGATCATTGACTCCACCCAATTCAAGAAATTTGGTGTATCAAAAACACACCCAACATTAAAAAGGGGTAAAATCAAAGATGTTAAAAAACACAGATCTGAAATACTCCGTAGAAAGAATTAAGTATAAGATGCAATAGAAAAAAATGGATCTGCTCTTCTTAGGCTTTTTAGTGTGTTAATCTTAACAACAAAGAATAGATCTGAAAATGAATGGAATCATAA